ACCATCGTAATCAAGATTGGAATGGATATTGTTTTGTGTGGTGAAGTTGTTCTGTGATTGTAGGCCATAATAGGAATGTTGCAGCCAAACCTGCTGTAGCCCTGTGTGTTTACCAGTAAAAAAATTATGTTATCTAAATGGAAGACATAGAGAATAACATGCTGATTCATTGTTGTTGACTATGGCTGAATATTTCAATTACTCACGTAAAACACAGAGAAACGTCCTCAACAAAAGTGTCGACCCAAAAAATGGAGAAACTGAAAGAAAGTTGCTTACAATGCAACATTGAAGAATGAAGAGCACCAGCAGATGGAGAAGAATTCAGCTTGCGGGATAGATTTCTCTTTGTATGGATAAAACAAAGAGTAATATCCAGCAACTGTGGAGGCTGCAAGAAATGCAAATGAAATATATCCCAAAACAATTGATGGATCATTCGGATATTTACAGATGAGTACTCCTCTCCCAGTAATTGCTTCCCCAGCTGGAGGCTGCAGACCCCAAAAAATGAAATTCTTGAGAATATTAGGGAGAATCACCACGATTGTTAAGACTTGGGACTCAAATTGCTTGTTTAAATTTAATGGGCTTTGATACCATGTTAAGACTTGGAGTTTCATCTTAAAAAGTCAATCTTATTAAAAAAAATATATTGGTCTATGTTTTCATCATTATTGATGTGTGATTTTGTTCCTTAACAACAACCCTAATTTAATTCCACAACACAAAGTTGAGACTCTAATTTATATCAATCGTAATAATTGGTATCAGAACAGAAAACCTTATGAGGCAACCTAGGGAGGACTACTAGATTGGTTCCTCGAAGCTATTCAAATGGAAATATGGCCCTTGTACATGTCGATTTTAAAAGGACAAGTACATTGTAACGACTCCCACTTCATCCCACACGACCAAGTTAACTCGTGAATTTATAAACACTTGGGCATTCCCACATTACATGCCAGTTTTTTAATGCTGAATTCTTTCCATATGATTGTATTGTCATTTTATGCTCAAATAACTTAAACTTAATTTATGATGTTCTCTCTTTCTCGTTTCTTATATAACCGTTAAGGCTGGTTGTTTTTTTTTTTTTTTTTTAAAATTTAAAAAAGAGAGTATATTTGTCATTTTACAGTTTTTAATTGAGAAAATGAATGAAAATAATGATTTTTGCAATGATATATAAAAATAATTGCACAATAATAATGAAAAGCAAGGACGTTTTGTACTAATTACCATTTTAATAATTTATTTGGACTCATTTGCACTTTTTAAAAAAGTTTGGAAGTATGATTGCAATTTATTCTTGTGCTTTTCTTTTCTTTTTTATTGTTATATTTAAATAGGAGGTATATTTGTCATTTTACACGAGAAATTTGATGAAATGGATGATTTCAGTAATAAAATATGAAAGTAAGGGTAAAAGTGTCAAAAAAAGAAATGTATGGACGTTTGTTACAATAATATTGAAAGGTAAAGATGTTTTGTGCTAATTACCCTTTCATATATAAGATATTATGTTTGTATATTTCATTTGTTTGCAAGTAATACATTTATCTATTAAATGGAACGAGTTGAGAGTTTGGGAACAAGATAGCTGGGACCCAAAGAGAAAGAAAAAAGAAAAAAAGAAAAAAAAACCCTTAAATTTGAGGGCTACAAAACTCAAATAATTAAAAGCCAAATAAATTACTATAATTGTTAAAATTTAGAATTATGCTGAGTATACGCTCCGCTTGACAGCTCACTCATATGAGTGGGTCACACGATTAAAATAATCACGGGCTCGCTCGTGTGATGTGAGTGGCTGTCAAAGACGATGTCAAAAAAATTGTAAGTGTAGCATTATTGTAAAACTTAAAGCATTCGAAATCTAAGTTACAACAGTACTACTGTCGTATCCTTTTCACGCAATGACCAATTTCAAGATGAATAATACTCAACTCATTTAAAGAGTTGGAAATGCTATCGTAAGGTTATTACTCTTCACATAAATATTTGGGTTGTAACTATTTTCTTATTTTTGCTTACTTTTTAGTGAGCAAAAAACAATAAAATAAGCTTCAACTATAGCAAAATTGATCCTACTGGTAATTAATTAATAATAATACCAATATAAGAGTTACGCATTTGAATTAAATAATAATAAATTCACTATTATCTCAAGAGTTCACTTGGGCTGTAAATTAAATTATGGAGATTAGTATAACGAAATTAAACCTCTTTTAAGTTTTAACCATTTATTCAAAATAAAATCATAGAATCCCATGAAATCAGTAAAACCCAACCAATTAATGTGCATGATAAAATACTAATTTTATTTTTAATAATATAAAATCTCAATATTTAATGTAGTCCAGCCCTATTTTCTAAAAGCTCATTTTTCTTTAAACTCGTTTTCAATCATCCATTCTCCGAATAAAATAATTTTATACGTAAAATCAAAACTGTTCTTTATCTTTTAACCACATATTTTTCAAAAAATCACTATTACAAAAAGAATTTTCACAACAATATGGTGCTCAATTCGAACTTAATACACACATGAAATAATAATATGTACACGCACGCACAATCAGTTCACTTATATAAATTTCCAAGGTGCGGTTTAGTTCCTTTTTCTTGCACTTTCATTCAGTGGCCTTCCACTTGCGTCCAATTGACTCTCAACATTCTTCCATAATCAATATGAGGTCTGAATCAACTCTTAAATATTTGCACTTTGGTCTCTGAACTTTGGAATTTTTCCTTTTTTGCTCCTTTTCTTCAATTTCCTCCAACTCCTGTTCCAAGTATCAAGTTTCTCCTAACAAATAAAATACACACAAGATTAGATTATAGTTTATAAAAAGTACAAAAATTATCTTCATTTATTACGGACCAAAAAAATTGGAAATTTCTCTTATTTAGTTCGTCCATTACTGTCGCATACCACATTGAATAAAAAATAGTAAGTAGCATCTAAAGTGTACAAGATTGATTTTAGCATACCATAAACATATTAAATGAAAAATATTAAAATACCACTTTGTTGGAGATTGAACCAATTAACACAAACACGCAACGGAATATAATATCACAATCCTCTATTATGCAGAATTAATGATGGCAGTAAAATAACACCAGCTTCAACTCACACACACTGGCAGAAATGTAAAGATAAGAACACCGATAATTGTTCACTAGGGAAACCCTAACGTGAAGGTAAAACCCCGGGACCTAGTCCAGTAAAGCTTTTCACCATAAAATAATGGGATACACAATTAACCATCTCCAGAACACAATCTAGAGGCTACCAATACATCAAGAATACATGTAGTTCTTGGATATCAACAACAAAATCATGTTTTAGTGACCATGGCCGATACAAGCCGTGCCAAATGGCTCGAACTGGCCTTTGATTAAAAACTTCACAATACATGAAACTGCCATCCTTCTACATAAAATACAGAAAAAGCGAAAAAATTAGAAAAAAAAATAATAATAACAAAAGAATAAGAAGAAAAGGTAGAGTTTCAAGAAGGGACAATGCAATATTGTAGATAGGTCAAAACTCGTGTACTCAATCATAAAAAGATGTGGTAGGAAACATTTTACGCTTATCTCAATTACGTGACGATATGAAGGAATTAAGGAAGTTGTCTTCCTTTTCACGTATATCAACATATATGGTACATCATCCTTAATATTAAGAACCACAAAATTGGAAACTCACTTTAGCCAATTTTGATTCGCTAGTGATCCTTGTGCTTAGATTTAGACAAAAGAATACAAAAGCAATGAATTTAAATGAGTAGACGCTGTGATCTAGACCAAACTATCTGATCCAATTCAGTGTGCCAAACATACTGCAATGTGCATTAACAGAACAAATTATACTCCTCCATTAGTTTATGATATCTCTTTATCTGATTATACACACATAATCTCACAGGACTCTCCATTGGTTTTATTACTTCGCATAAATATATTTTAGTGAAAATTCAAGTCGAGATCCTCTCCAAAGTTTAGTTTAATCATTTGTTTATAGAAAAATGATCATATTGAATTAAATAACTTACTAAAATTTCAAACTTTTCAAATAAATGACCAAAATCAAAAGTGATCTTGTGACACATTTTTATGTGAGTTTGAAATTTTTGATATATGCATGTCCAGGGCCAAATGTGAGAGCGTGCAAAATTATAATGGCACAATATATATCTAATATTTGTTTGTTACGGATTAAAAGTCAATTAAAATTAATTTTTTAACCGTTATTTCATTATTCCAACCGTCATTTTTCAATTCTTCTTTCACAGATAAAATCCACTTTATCTTTGACGATCAAACAATCAATTATCAAAATTCTTACCAAACAAACTCCTAATGTGTTATATACATAATTATAATTTTTGTTAATTTAGAGAATTTAATTTTACAAGGAATTTTTTATTAGTTAAGTTAAAAAGCACAAAATTTAGGAGGAAAAAAGGACTACCAGCTCAAAATATTAAAACCAATACATAAGCGAAAGGAAAATTTTTGACATATAAACGAAAAAACAAGTATAAGTTGAAAAATAATGTCATAACTTTTGTCCCCCTTTTTTTTGTTGAAAATTACTGTATACATAACTTCCCTATTATTATCAACCACCATTACCAAAAACTGCGGCTTCAAAGACGAAATTTTCCGTCGCTTAAGCTTTAAATTCCGTCATTAATGACTTTCACAAACAGAATAAATTAGTCAGAAAATTCGTTGACAATTCCCCCACCGCTAATTAACGACGAATTACTAGGCCGTAGGTGATTTAGCAACGAAAAAAACCGTCGCTGATTTAGCGACATCTATTTCGTCATTGTTTTAGCGACAAAATTACCTACAAATTATATCCGTTGATGATTACCAAAAGATTTCCATCGCTATTTCCGTCACTAATTTGAATTAAAATATTAAAAAAATATATATATATGATTTTATTTTAATAATTATTTTCTTGAAAACTTCGTACATTAAAGTTTAAACTGAAAGTTTAAAAAAAAAAAAAAAAGTTTAAATCCAATAAAAGGTTTTAGCACCGATCCAAGAATCGACCCATATGTATACTCCATGGTTCCGGACAAGCACAGCTGTAGCTTTGTCGTATGATTTAACCTGCAAAACAAGGATCAAAAATCATTTTCCATGGAAGAATTCCACTACTAGAGACATGGAAACATGGTCTCCAAGTCTTTAACTACCAAATTACATACATTTGTATAGGCATGCAAACTTAGATTTATAAATGCAAGATACTAATTATCACCTCATAGAGAAGCATGTAACCCATCCATTCTGAAACTATAACATCAACTTCTTCATCAATTTCAACATCCTGCAATAACCAGAATGTGACTTGCTACGTTTATCCTCTATTTATAAGCAACAGACAAATTATTAAAGAACTAGTGTAAGGTTCAAAAAAAAACCAGAAGCAAACAAATGATTGCCATTACTTCTGTCAAACACGCAACTTCAAAAAACAAAATGCATAACATTTTTAGTACAGCTAAAAATGCAAAACCTTAGGGATGTCAAGAACAAAAAAAACTTAACTGCTACAGTAATTTCACTTCCAAAAACCATCTTCATTAATAGGGCAGCAACCTGAAATAATATTGTACCCTAGCCTTATTTTGTCCACACCTGTACATAATAAATATTTCACATATTTAAAATTGTTTATGAAATTTCTCTTGATAAGCCTTATAATAAATATTTCACTACGATGGTAATTTCACTTCCCTTATAATGCCTTCAAAATTCCAATTTTATTTTATGTTTCTGTAACCACTACATTTCCTCTCAATATACCACTTGTTTAGTAAGAAACACTTGCTCAAGAAGTATCTATAAAAATAAAGATATTTGTTTGTTGGGGATTATATGAGAAGCTTCATGTAAACAACATACTAAATTTTGTTCCAAATAACTTTGGGGTTAGCTATATAAAATTCTTTTTGGAAACTCTATTTGATCCACAAAACTAACTTCTACTGGCAACAAAGAGAAGTTGCGCCCATTACATGAAAGCATCAATAAAGGTTGCAGGACATCGGGTATTTAATTCCCTACACTCACAAGCATAAGTACTATATAGATTCATGGACATTAAATGGAACCACAAACACACTCCATCAATTATTGATGCCTATCACAGCCAAATCAATACTATACTCGTATAATTCTCAAAAGGGATACCAACTGCCTTGTGCTACAAAGAGAGATGATACAACAGCATTTAAACAACACCTATTGTCGAGAAACAAAATTAATTTAAATGAATACCTCCATGGCAATCTAAGCATATTATTGGATTTTGGCAATGCAAATAGAGAAAGATTTATCACGAATCTGCAGGAGCATCATCACTGGCAAAACCAGCCTGCAGGAGTAACATCAAACAAGTCCCTCGAAATTAGTGACATAATAAATTGAATACAGAAGGCTAGAGAATTTTAAAATGTTTATGAACCTTCACCATTCGAGTTCCATTGTCACAAACAAAGGGCTGAATATCCTCACCATAGGCCATTTTCTATGAACTGGCAACCACAACATAAAACCAATATAGAAACAAGAGATGATAAAAGAAAGTACATGTACTATTGCGATATGCACAAACAAGTGCATTGCATAATCTGAAACAATGTCAGATTGCACGACAAGTTCTCACGCTCCATGATGTATTGCACAGAGGGAGAAAAATGAATAACATATTACATGTAACCTTCTTGTGAGAGAGAACTTTATAATTTATTTCACATAAAAAGATGACAATTGATAACAACAGTGTAAGTGCGACTGATATGTAAATTATAATTGCAATGCAAAGTACTCTTGATTTACAAGCACGTAAAATTTGAATTAAAATTTCAAAAAAAAATAAAATAAAAAAATACTGATTATTATAATGGATGAAGTACACAAATCTAATGCACTGTCTTCAAATCTAATATTGATTAAAATTTCAAAAAAAAAAAAAATTATGTCATGTTGAAGTACACAAATCTAATGCACTGTCTTCAATACAATGCAAAACAGAACCAAAATCAATTTAAGAATATAATGGATGAGAAAAAAAACTGCAACCTAGCGTCATATGGAAAAATGATGAGTGAAAACGACAATGCCATAGCAAAAACTTCAAAAAAGCAGATGAATACAAACATGGAAGTAACTGTCATTTTGATGCTATTATACATTCCAAGTAGATAATTAGCATGATTCAAGCCTTGTGGTTGATAGTTTTAATGTTACAACACTGAGAATTGCAAGGTAAGTATTAAAGAAATAAAGGGCAACAGTCCGCTACCCTGTGCAAAGCATAATAGTTTCAGCCAAATCAAGTTTTGTTTGAGCCCCACATATAACACTACATCCATCAGAGTTTTCATATCTATGACCCAGTGATGCATAATTCATTGTAGCAACATTTTGATGTCCTTTCAATAGATAAGCATGATTCAAGAATGTATTCAGGATTAGCAAAAGTTTATCATATGAGAATGAATAGCATAAAAGATCAGGAAAGGATAAAACTAAATAACTGGGCATGGAAGCAATCTATAAAAACTTGAAAGAGTGGTGTGAGTGTCCTCTGTAAATGGTGACTCTGGAAATTAATCAAAGCTGGAACTCAACTGGAGAATATCCTCAACAATATATCAATGTTCTCGTATGGGAAAGATGGAACAAATACGAGATGGACAAATATTTGAAGGCCTAACTACATAACAATACTAAACAAAACTCTACTAAGGCTAGTAGAAATTAGCACTCAGGTCAATATGTGAAATAAGGATTGACTGTAACTGCTAAAACAGAAAACACAATAAAATACCAGATTCAATACTTTCATATGCTGATGTCAGGATGCTGTTGGAACAATCAGCTTAGAGTTTTCATTATAAAGGAACAATCAGCTTAGATGTTAAGAACTTCCTATCTGAAATAGAAGTACGGGTAAATTAATTTATGATGGAAATTATTACATCCTGGAACAAAATTATAAATATGTGAATAAAAGAAACCAAAAAGAAAAATGCAAAAGAGACAATTGTGAGGGAAAGAAGGTTGAGAATTTATGGAACTTTAAAAAAAAAAAAAAATTATCGAATACATCAGAGGAAATTCAACATAAAGGGGGGCAATAGTTCCAGCAACTAGACCTCCAAAATCAACTAAACACTTAAGCCCCATCACTCATCACAAATAGAACAACTGATGCCCCAAATGATACCAATTTCTTTGCAGACACCGATTATCTCCGAAAAACTTCCACATAAATTCAACTCAAATGTTTCTTAGCACATGATTTCTTTTTCTCTTAGTTAGTAGTAAGCATACATTGGATAACTTACTTTTATGTTGAACTTTTCTTAATCTGCGAGCGGTAAAATTCCACACACATTCGGACTGACACGGTGAAAGCAATAGACAAATATAGAAATGGGATAAAGATGTAAGAGGGAGGCAACCAGCGGCGAGTGGCAAAGAAACCGGAAGGCAGAAGCCCTCTCAATGAACATGTGAGATCTAGAAAGCCCAAGCCATAGATGAGATAGAATGGATGCTGTGAGAGACGAGATAGGGTTAGGGATTTGCAAAGAAGGGAAATGAAGCATTTGGATTTCAGCAGGGATGAGAGAAGAATGCCTTAAAAATGAAAGTACAAAAATAAAAAATTTGGAGGGAAATAGAAAAATTTTAGTGGGAAATGAAAATTTAAGTAGGAGGGAAATTGCATAGAGTTTAGAAAATTGGTAACTATTAATACTTATTTTTATTTTTTTACTTAAAAGTCTATCAACAAATTTTCTAGATTGGTAATTATTTTATTCTTTTTTTTTCCATCGAAAATATCAGTCAGTAAATTTGTTGATAAATTATTTAATTTATTATTTAATTATTTTTTATTTTTTACCCACGAATTAGCATCGGAATTATACCAACGGAAGACTTCCATTGGTAATTCTGTTGGTAATTTAATATATAATTTTTAAAAATGATAAAATAATAATTTGTTGCTAATTTATTGTTAATCCATTGGTAATCTCAACGGAAAACGTCCGTTACTAAAATTCCATCCTTGTAGCCTCATTTTCTAGTAGTGTACCATATATTTTGAAAATTACCCCATCACTGTGTAAAAATCTGCACTATTCTTCCAAAAATAGTGTACCCAAACAACTAGAGGTAGTTTTCGTTTTAATTTCAACATTTGGTAATGTAGAGTTGCTTGAAGATGTCATAATAATTTGGATGAAGACGAGTTTTTGAAAGTATGGAGATGCATTCAATCATAAGTTTGTTGTTTTACTTGTAATTTCTTCATGATATATATATCTATATATATATATGTTGAAGTGTTACATTTTGTCGTGTAATAGTTTTATATCGAGCCAATTAATATAATAGCTTCACATCTTTCTCTATGCATGTTACTTAATTAATAGGAAGCAAGATACTTTTACCTTGTTTTGAATAAATCTACTCGAGACAGTACTAATTTTATGTGCTGAATTAGGTCTTTTATAGACCATCCTATACGTTATAGAGCCTATTTCACTAGCATAGGGTATCAAACCCATCATTTTTAACTCATTATTACTTGAAGGACTCAAATATGATGTTTGCTTTAAGTGATTACCTAAAGGAAGTGATACAGACTTAACTCATTCATTGAAAGTCTTTCAAGAATTTTCATAAAATAGGAGTTTTAGTTTATGAAGAGAGAATTGTGATTTCTATCCCTTTTTATGTCCAAGAATAATTTTAGTTTCCCCTAAATCTTTCATAAAAATCAGATTTAAGCTGTTCTTTAGCGACATTAACTTCAAACTAATTATAACTTCCGACAAGCATATCATCAACATATAGGAGAAACAATGTGGATTCCCATTTTTCTATCCTATAATATAAGACTAATGCTATTTGCAGTTGACTCATTGCCGCAGTCACACTATGTGGTATAAAGGTAACGGTTAGTGATTTAATATTTCAATGTGGTAGTTTTTTTATTATCTTATACAACAAATCACTAATCGCCACAAGCATTATTCATGATATAAACAACTAAGTTGTTACATGTACACTAGAGTCGTAGTGTACAACCCCTCACATGAGAGGGGGCCCATGAATTTTTTAATCACTGTAGGTCATCATGTGAGGGGGCAGTACTTGTACACTCTATTGTACAAGTTGAATTTTCCTATAAACTACTATCAAAATCACTTCTATTGAAATCTATACCTAAGACAAAGAAGTCAAATTAATTTCCTACACCATTTGTGTAGGTACCTGCTTTAAACCATATGGTGACTTCTTAAGAAGGCAAACAACTTCAGACCTAGCCCCTATTTGGTGTACATAAAAAATCATAAATATATTTTGATAAAAGTTGATGAAATATATGGTTGAGTAATTGCGGGTTTCATGAAATGTGTAGTTAAAATTAAATGTTGACTTTAACTTGAATTTTAATTAACTAGTTAAGCTGCACTAAACAGGGGCTTACCCTTTCCCCAAACCCCTTATGGTTGTTTCATGTAAGTTGCCTTTTTTAAATCTCCATTTAAGAAGACAGTTTTAACATCTTTTTTTTTTTTTCCTAATTCCTAATTATACTGAGATGCTAAAGCTAGAACAATTATAATGAGTTGTGCACTTAACATGCTGGTGAAAAGACCTCTATATAATCTATCCTTCAACATGAGAGAAGCCCCACTAGTTTGGCTTTGTACTGCTCAGCGCCCTCTTTAACCTCTCCTCCTTTTATTCAGTCTAACAATGGAAACACGTCTACGACTCTACAACCGAGAAGATACATGTAACGATTTGATTAAACCTTGCAATTTATTTATTCTGAAGTGTAAAACAAGTAGTCGACCACACACAAATTAAAATAAATCTCAGCATATAATAATTTGTTCATGCATCTAGACAGTCTTGTAATAATTGAAAAAGGCCTCCCAACTAATACACAGATTCGTCGGTAAAGTCTTCGTTCTATAACAACAAATTATATGCAATTGGATAAAATTCAGAGAGTTGGCATATTTTTGTGTTCTTAAAGATATTCGGATAATAGTAATTTTTTGAATCTGATAATGTCAATGTTCAACCAAATTCTAATTTTCAAATTTTGATAAAAAGGGGTTTTATGTTCTTGAATTTAATTTCAAAAAAATAATAATAAACTTTTTCGAGTGCTTGAGAGTTACCATGCAACTAACCATGAACATGTTGGCGTTCATTACTGCTAATATATGTGTGTGCACGTACGTAATTTTTACAATTTATAACATCAATAATGTTCACATTAATATTATTAAATAATTGACAAAATAATAAACAGAACGGAACTGCGAAATCGGATTAAATTATGGTGAAGTGTATGACAAGTAAGCTACCAATCTGTAATCATCTTCAAAGAATGCAAATGGACAGTCTTTTTTTCTTTTTTGCCTATTTCTTTTGAGTTAGAAATTAGAACTTGGATAGAACTCACAATTTAACCAACTTGTCGTTCGAGGGTGTGTAACATTATAAACACACAATACACGCTTTCGTGAGAAACTTAGGACTCAGAAATCCTGTGAAATATCGAGACACTCAGGATTAACCAACATTCATAGAAATCGAACCAATAAATGCAGAAAATAAATGTACAAAAAATAATGAACATGATGATTTTTCGGCCGAAGCCCCAGAGGTTCAGCACAAGTGCCTAATCCCTTGTTGAGCATCCACTATGAATGGATTCAGCTCGGTTGCACAATAAGGTCCCCAAAATCAAGCAGTAAGTATACAATGTTTCAGAATATTACAATATACAAGTCACAGAGACTTATCTCATAAGAATTCACCAAGGCAAACCACGGTTCACAAAGAAACCACGCACAGATCACTCAGACAACTAAGTCACAAGAACTGCCATCCAAGAATCACATGATTTCACAAGTCATTATACAATATGTAAGCTATTCCCCACAGAAAACACAAGAAATCACCAAGATTTCATCAAACCCGACTGCACATCACATGAAACCACTCAGGTTTCCATTAACTCAACACAGCAGTTCACTAGGTTGGAGATCTATGACATATCATGGATTAACTCAAGAAAGAGTTCTTCATCAAACCCGACAACACATCACATGAAACCACTCAGGTTTCCATTAACTCAACACGGCAGTTCACTAGGTTGGAGATCTATGACATATCATGGATTAACTCAAGAAAGAGTTCTGAAAATCACTCAAGAATGGAGCCAAAATGAGAGATTCATCGAGAGAGAAAGAGAGGTGACTCAAAACCCTCGAACTCAAGAAGCCGAATAGAGTAGAATGAAAGACCAACAGCCACCCAAATCATTTAGGGTTAAATGCATAGAATCATCTAGAATCAGATCCAACGGCCAAGAGATCAACACGTGTCACAATCCAGTTAACTCCTTCCATTAGTAAAGTGTCACTTTACAAAACACGCTTTTAGTTAAAATTGTGGAAGCACAATTTAAATCAAAGGAGATCAGCAGTTCGACTCCCAACAATCTCCACCTTGCTTCCATAATTTTAAGGCATATAGTGCAGCCATTTGCACTTTGATTATCAGAAAACAAAATTGGATTAGTATCTACAAAGCCAAGTTCATTTAGTAAACCATGCAGCCAGATGCCTTTTTTGATGGCATCAGTGGCTGCAATATATTCAGTCTCGATGGAAGATAGAGCAACAATTTTCTGTAACTGAGATTTCCAACTTATCACAGTGCCACACAAAGTGTAAAAATAAGATGAAGTGGATTTCCTATTGTCTCTATTTCCAGCAAAATCTGAATCTGTATAACCTTTTAGAATTACCCCCTCTTTATTCATTTTAAACATCAAACCTAGGTTGGATGAACCTTTTAAGTATCTCATTAACCATTTTAAGGCTTCCCAATGTGTTTCACCAGGATTTCCCATGAATCTACTCAAAACACTAATACTAAATGCCAAATCAGGTCTGGTGCAAATCATTAAGTACATGACTGAACCAATAGCATTGGCATAAGGTATTTTAGACATTCTTTCAAGTTCATCTTCAGTTTTAGGGCATGAATCAGATGTTAGAATAAAGTGATTAGCAAGGGGTAAACTCACAGGCTTACAATCAAACATATTAAACTTCTTAAGAATCTTATTCACATATTCTTCTTGACATAAAATCAAACAATCAGATTTTTCATCTCTTTTAATTTGCATGCCAAGAATTTTCCTAGCAGAACCAAGATCCTTCATATCAAATTTTGATTTTAGTTTGTGTTTGATATCATCAATTTCAGCTTTATTGGCACTAACAAGAAGCATATCATCAAAATAAAGCACAAGATACAAAGAATCTTTACCACCACTTCCTTTGCAATAAAGACATGTATCATAATTGCTTCTCCTAAACCCAAGTTTCAAGACAAATGAATCAAATCTTTTATACCATTGTCCTGGAGCTTGCTTTAGGCCATATAAATATTTTTTCAGCAAACACACAGTTTTTTCAGGATTTCCTTTTATAAATTCTAAAGGCTGATTCATGTAGATAATTTCATCCAATTCACCATAAAAAAAGTAGTTTTTACATCCAATTGATCAAGTTTCCATTTAAA